GACTCTGTTGTGGACCACTACATCCATGGCTTTATATGATGAAGCAAGGTAGCCATCTGCGTCTCTAGCTTCTGGACTCGGGCTAAAGGGATGGTGGTGGAACCTGAAGAGTGAGTGGCTCTGGATGAGCTAAGGGCCTTACTGGCGGCCGGAGATGGAGGAGCCTGGGCATCCGCTGTAGTGGATGGAGGGGCAGTGCCATGAACCTACATCTGCTTCACATCTGCTACAAGGTCATCTCCCAACGGTGGTACCTAAACCTGCGGCTCTCTGCGAGGTGCAGCTACATTGGCCTCATCCCTAATAAGGCCTCCATAGTCTTAGTTGCCTAAAGCAACAAATCACAATCTCATACTAGTAGGGATGAATCCCTGCATAGCTAGAGGATAAGGAACGGGAAAGGCAAGGTGGCAGTGGCCTTGAAGGCCCTCTCATGGATCTCCGCAACCAATATGCGGGTAAAGTTGATCTCGAGACCCGCTACCATAGCTACAACCATCACTACTCGGTCCCATGTGACCACATTGTCCGCCTGAGTAGGGGACACACGATTCTGCACTATCAACTGGAAGAATTCAGCAGTAAAACTTAGCGTCACCTTCTTGATACCCAAGATCAAAGTCCGGACCCACTCTGGGCACTCTCCATTCGTAGCAATATGATGTGCTAACCACCTCAAAAGTGACTCCCTCTTATCGGCATTTCTCTGAAATGCCTCACTCTGAATGATACCCATCCGATAGTCGAACACTATTGTATTAATGGGCAGAGTGTGGTCTGGGCAATAGATAAACCTGCGGAGGGTGGTCTTGGAGATGTATATTGTCAACCCCCGTACGATTGTGGCCTTAAGTGGAGGATGAGTTGCTGGCTTGGGCTGCTTAGAGATGGATTCTCTAATGGTGGCGGCATATGAAGCATAGAACTCCCGTACAATCTCATTGATGTATGTGCCTGGGGTTTGTGTCATCCACTCACACTTGTGCCGCCGGAAGAGCTCCTCAATGACTGGAGCAGTATGGAGTCTACATGTGAGAACCCGATGCTCCTTTGTGACTAATCTGGCCATCATGTCGTGCTCATTCAGCATGCAAGGATCCGTGTAAATATGGTACTGGCCCTCCACACACCACCTAGTTGGCTCTGTAGCAACCGATGGAGGCTCAGAACGAGGGGGTACTAGGGTATCTCCTGTACTATCAGACTCGTATGAAAAGGCGGTGCTACCGTTAAGGCTAGAACCGGAGCCGGATAGGGACTCTGAGCCAGCATGTGATCCGATTGGTGTGGCCCCCTTCTCAGACTGGGGGCAATGACCACATCGGAGCTCACCTACCGGGCTTGGTTTCGTGTAGTGTGTGGAGCATTGGGGGAGGTGGAACTTACTCCCCATCTGTATTCTCATCGAGCAGCCTCATAGTGGGAGCGACAAATTTTGATTTTTCTTTGGCTGCGTAGGACGGAGCTTGCTTCGGGGCCATGGTACCTGTGGAAGCTTAGTTAGTACAGAAATAGTGCAATAATACTCATGGAATAATTTTAGAACAAGTGTTGGACCAAAGCACCATTTCAAAAAAAATTCTGGACATTAGCTGAACTCTCGACCTATGGTGGGTACCAACGGTCCATCGACGAAATAATGGCCCGTGGGTCCACTCTATAGGTTAGGGTACCCGAAATTGGGTCTCTAATGTAGGAACCAGGGATGTATAGAACGATCCTTCGATGGAACGATGGACCGTAGTCCACACCGTGGTTCGACACTTGGTGAAAACTCTGTGTTCTACTGGCCCACGGACGCGACCTACGATTCGTAGAATGACCTACGGTCTGTAGATGGGGTCTCGTGGGTCAGTTTTATGCCAGTTTTTAGAACTTGTTTCAGTTTAATGCCTTCTCTTTCAACAATTACAAATAACTTAGGCCTACACTTGCATTTCAATATGTAATTTGGTAGTTAATCATCCTTAGGGTCTCGTTGACATAATTTTAATAGATTATCAAATCTAAACTGATGAACCCTAAGTCAAAACTTCCAATTTGGCCTATTACTAGATTTTAGTTGGTTAAAATTCATAACACACTCACATACCGTCATACCAAGGGTGTTTCAAACTACAATTCTACATTTAATTAGAAGAGTAACAACCCATGGTCAAGTTCATCGATGTGATTTCAATTGAAACAATGAAGTGATTCAAAGTTTGGGAGAAATCTGGTTAATTTACTAGTAATCACCGATGAGGAGTGTGTGTTGCAATAAAATTCGTGACCCTTTGCTAGCTTTCTGACACCGAACCAGGATTGTGGAATCTTTTAAGGAAGAAGAGTAGAAGTGGGGATGATTTGGGAGAGAAAATGGGCGAGATGGAAGGATAAAGGGAGAATCATGGATTCATTCGGCGATCCCGATCGAGATCACCTAAAGTTACAGTAGCCAGACCAAGAAAAAGCGAAAAATGAAGGCAAGATGAAGAACAATCGACGATTTGCCGATCTGTCAGTGACACCCGACTTACTTCACCGAGTAGTCATAAGCAGTGACACTTCAGCCTTGTTTAAATTAGTTTTGGCTAGAGAGAGAAATTATTTCAGAAAAAAAGAAAGGAATTAGTTACAGAGAAAACACTACCAAAGGGTTTAGGGAGTGATTCTTAGCAAGATTTTGAGAGAGATTTCGTAAGAGAGGAGATTATCAATTGATTTTCATCTTTAATTCTCATTTTGTGCCTAACTATGGGAGTGATAATTGATTTTGATTCTTTCATTTTTGAGATGAGTGGCTAAAACCCTTTACTTAGGGTTTTGATCATGAAGCCAATTGTTGTATTTACTTATTGGGTGTTTGTTAATTTGCAAAGAATGGTGTTAATTTGAAGTGGGTCTAAGTTGTTGCTATGTTTCAAGGTTGAATTGCGCGACTTCGTGTGTCAATTTCAGTGTTGTGCACTTGCTCAAGAGAGAGGTGTGGAACCAAGGTGACAATCTTAGCATCCTTAGTAGTGGATTTCCTTGGTTTCAGCTCAAGAGAGTGAAACAAGTAATCCATCCTTCGTATTCAGCTCGAAAGAGTGAATTTGATGGGGGTAAAGAGCTGGGCTTATTTCGATTGGTGTTGAAGTTTGAGAGAATTTAACATAGAAAAGGTATTTGTTCGAGAGAAAGTTACTTTATATATAGTTCATCCTACCCACAACAAATTTTCCCATTATGAGCAGTAACATTTATCTATTTCGTTGAGATTCCATAATTGGCTGATCAATTCCCAAGCTTTACCCTACTATTTGATTGTGTGTATTCAAGTGTAAATTTGGGATTGATAGGTAAAACTTGAAATTTGAGAGTTGAACATTAATTGTGCAAGAATTGTTTGATTGAAGAGGTTGTCATTGTACTTTGATTATTGAATTTGAAGAAAGTACTACTCCCTATGGGATTGACCCCAACTCACGTAGTTGGGTCATTATACTGACAAACGATCGTTGGCATTTAGTATTGGATGAAATGCCTTGATACGTTAATCAAAATGGTGCCGCTACCAGGGAGTAGTGTTACTTAGAATTCTTTGATTGAAGATTTGACACTCTCAAATTTGTTGGCTGTAGTTGAATTGGTTTTGGCTGCTTTGTGTAAGTGTTGGTTGGACTATGTAGAAGTGAACATGAGTAAGGAAGAGATGAATGACAGCGAAGCAGGTCATCCAGATGGTATAAAGGACATCAATAGTATCTACAACCCAGCTCAATCGTGTGGAATGAGTGCAATTTGCATCCCACAAACTGATGAGAATGCGATGTATAAAGTGACTAGCACAACTCTTCATCTTCTCCAAATGAGGGGACTATATGGAGGGCTAGATTACGAAGACTCGCATGAGCATTTGAGAAACTTTACAGGTTTGCACCCCTTTTTCATTCAAAAATGTGTCTCAAGAGTCAATTCGACTGCGGTTATTTCCACTGTCCTTAACGGGAGAAGCTAATAAGTGGTTAGCCGAGTTACCAAACAATTCCATTACATCATGGGAGGAGCTGGTTATAGCATTTAACACAAGATTCTTTCCTCCATCAAGGATGATGAAACTTAGAGACGAAATTCAAAGTTTCAAGCGACAGGAGGGGGAACCCATCCATGAAACGTGGGTGAGATTCAGAAAGCTCCTACTTAAATGCCCAACTCATGGGCTACCAAACGATTTTTTACTTCAATATTTCTATCGGAGTCTCGATTCGATTACTAAAAGAGTGGCTGATCAATTGGTACGAGGAGGAATAATGTTACAATCATTTGAGGTGGCTTCGTTTCTTCTGGATGACATGACTAGAATAAACCAAGTGTGGTACACCAAAGAGGATCAAGTTTCTCCATTTCATTTTAGATTAACGCAAGAGCAACTTGAAAAAGAGAACGAGAGGGATGATAATATCAAGAAGATGTTGACCCAAATGGACGTTCTACAAGAGCTCATGAAGGAGACATGTGAAGTGTTTAAAGTTGAGGAGGGTTCTTCTTCCGGTTACTCAAGGCCGGTGCAGAATCAATTTTGGAACTCCAAGAGATATGAGGAGGGTTTCCACCCACGCTCTCTACAGTGAGGCGGAAATCAAGGTTGGAACTATAATAGGGGAGAAGAACAAAGGATATACTATCAAGATTGGGCTGAGTAAAATGATTATTGGAGGAGGGAAGATGATTACGAGGAAAACCATACTCACTCAAGTGAAAGCCCAAAATCAAAATATAATGCGAGTCCCCTGGTGAATGACTTGTTGTCACACATACTTGACAAAGTTGAAGGTTCGGATGATTTGTTGAAATGGATGAAAGATGACTTTTCATCATTGAACAGTAAAGTGAATTATCATGCCAACGCCATCAAGACACTTGAAGGCCAACTGAGTTTATTATCAGCTCAGTTGAAACCAAAAATAATGATAGAAGATGACGATTGAGGGCTGGTTGTGGTTACTCTAAGCGGAAAGGTAGTAATAGGTAATGTGATGAAAAATGAAGACGCTCAAAAACACGAAGAAGGTGAAGGCATGGAGGAACAAGAGTTGCTTATTCATAAAAACATTGCCAAAGAACCACAAAAGGAAGTGGAACAACACGTTCAAATTCCAAAAGTCATGCAACCTTTACCCAAAATACCTCCACCATTTGCCCAATGTTTAAAGAAGAAAAATGAAGATGAGAAGTTCAAGAAATTCTTGTCAGTGTTCAATACACTATCAATCAACCTCCCCCTAGTGGAAACATTGTTGGAAATGCAGGGATATGCCAAATTCATGAAAGATTTGGTCACGAAGAAGAGGAATTTGGATTTTTAGACAATTGAAGTTTCCCATAATTGCAGTGCAATTATGACTAAGGAGCTAATCAAAAAGAGGGAAGATCCTAGGGCATTCACCATTCCATGCACCATAGGCATGCTCCAATTCGCTAAAGCTTTATGTGACCTAGGAGCAAGCATCAACCTAATGCCCTATGCGATATACAAACAACTTGGATTGGGTGAACCGAAGGCCACAATGAGACTATTGATGGCAGACTGTTCAATCAAACATCCCATGGGGATACTATATGACATCTTGGTGAAGGTCGATCGGTTCATTTTTCCAGCTGATTTTGTTATTTTAGATTGTGAAATAGATGCTGAAATTCCCATTATTTTGGGAAGGCCATTCTTAGCAACTGGGAGAACATTGGTGGATGTTGAACGTGAAGAATTGAGGTTTCGGGTGAACGAAGATTAGGTAACTTTGAATATTTGCAAATCCATGAAACACCCAAGTGACATTCATGTAGCATCTTGATAACGCTCAAAATTACCCTCAAAACAAGTTTGAAGAATAAGCGATCATCGTCAATAAAAGTACCCAATTAAGAGTCATGGTCGAATCCCACAAAGAACAATTTATCGATAATTGAAAATATAACGAATGAGTAGTTACAAGTTTGAATCTAACTCACTATATACACAATTATCAAATTAAGAGCGATTCTGGTAACTAACAAAAGATTTGGGCAAAGACAATATCCAGCATGGGATAATTGGGATGTAGAAAATTCGGAACTCAATACTCATTCAACGATCCAGTGCCATCTCAACACATGCAAATCAATCGAAGGTAGGCTAGATCATTATCATTCAACACTTATCTTCTTTTGGTCTCAAAGTGCTTTATCACGTAATATCCTTTCGATTTTAATCGTGTTCAACAACAATACAATCTAATACCTTAATCTAAACCCCTATTTTCTAGAAAGTTTAGCATTCAACAAAGTAAACCTACATTATCTCCTTTTCTTCTCAAATTTATGAATCAAAGCCGAAAATGATTAGTAACCTAATTCTTCACTTCATGGATTCGCTTTCAAGAAACCCATGAAGATCGGAATCTAGATTCGAGCTTGCTCTCTCAAATCATACATTAAAGCATGAAAGTTAGATTAAACCCTAGTCATGAAAGCAAGGAATCACAGACAAAAACATAAGAATAAGCAATAAAGACCCAAATTAATTGTCTATTTCTAGCACAAAACTCCAATCTTGATTAGCAAGTACACCTACAATTCTAGAAATTTAAATCAAGGAAAGAAGAAGGGAATAAGAGATTTTACTAATAAGAACACAATCTTCAAACCCAAATGTAAATTGTGAGGAAACTTGCCTTCAAAGTCTCAACCCAAATTGAAATCTACAAGTTTTTCTCTACTCTAAGCTAAGAAAATGAACTTCTCTTTATTCAATTGATATTGAACGTATGATGTATCTTCAACAATGACAGTTGGTGAGAGTAAAAAGGGTTTTTGAGGTCAATTTGGTGAAATTCTCAATGTGCCCAAGTGCTAGGTGTTTTACCCTTTTCAGTCGCGATAACTAACTCATGTGGCCACGATGAGTAGTATCCCTGGGTCACGTGATTGCGACCATGCAATCAGGAGATCTAAATTCTTGTGCAACACAATCGCGACCTCTACTTCACACGATTGCGATGAGTAAACTTCTATCAGTTCCACTTTGTCCCAATTAACTTCTTCTTGCGTCAATTCTACTTTGTTTCTTCAAACATCTTCTAAATCTACTCTCCATTTCATTTTCCTAAAATTATGAAGAAAACCACATTAAAAGCACTAATTCTAAACTAAAGCAAGAAAAAATAACTATGGTAAGAACCTCAGATAAGTGATAATCCACCACTCATCAACACGCCCAAGTTAGAAACTTTGCTTTTCCTCAAATAAATAAAATCAAAAACACAAGAGGCTCTCATTTCAACACACATCATAAATCAATTTCACCTTTTTTTAATCAAGCACAAAGGAAATGGCTTTGGTTGGTACTAACAAATAGTCCACATGCAAAAGTTTCACAAAATAATACCCCTCATTCTCATGGCATATTTTCAAAAACCAAGAATCATTAAGTAACAATAACTCAAACTCAAGAACTGACTCAATTCACTGTAGTTCTTTTTCATACTCACTTGACTCAATTAGGAATTTTCAAAATCACCACTTTATCAACTTACATGTCCTCACAAGGAAATAAATGTCCCAACACACTCACAAGGTATTACAATACAAGGTACAAAGATGCAAACATTCACACTCATAACAAAACATCTCATGAACACAAATGTCACACCATAGGCTTGCCCATATTGTCAATCAAGATTGACTCAACTTTATCCAATTGGAAAGCTCAAAGTACTTTATGAATCTTGTAATGTAGGCTTGGGGAAGGTTAGGATATCATTCAAGTATAAGTGACTACATGTAACGACCCGTAAAATGAATAGTTAAAACTAGAGCCTAACTAGTGTGTGTTTTAGTTAATGTGAGGTTTGAGGGTATAAATTGTTGTCCCAAGCTATGGTTGAGGGGTTTAGGGGTTAAACATCAAGGTAAGACTCCCCAAGGACCACCCAAGGTGTCCTTTATGAGGACCCTAAGCCTAAACCCCAAAACCCCAAGAAAACCAAAAAGTTGTTTTTTTGGGATGACCTACGGATGGGGACCTACGCCCCGTAGGTCCATCCACGCCCCATGGATGACCTCCGTAGGTCAAGCCCCCAAAATGTGAGTTGCTGAACCAAACCACGGTTTACCAGAATGGCCCATGGTCCCACCCACAGTCTGTGGGTGGTGGTTCATGGGTCATGACTGTTTGCTGTCAAATGTCTCGGCCAATGTGAGGGCTATTTGGTAATTCATTGTAAGTTAAGTTTAGTTAATGGATGGTTTTTTTTGGTTTATTAAAGTATTTTAAGAGTTTTTAAAGTATTAAACGCTATTTTAGAATTCATTATCTCAAAACACCCCAAAGTTAGAAACCTCTCTTCTCAAAAGTTCTCTCTCTAGAAACCTCCATTGGAGGTAAAGGATTCAAGCTCTCAAGGTCAAGTCTTCATCTTTTTCAAGAGATTCTCTTGGATTTCTTCCATAGAAGGTATGGTAGTCTTCATCCTTGACTTAGTTTCTTTCAAGGAGCCAATTTCAAAAGTAATTTCAAGTCTCCAATGTTTTCCCCAAAGCCCTAGTTTTCAATCTATGCATGGGTTCGATTCCAAACGTTTTTCAAAGGCTTTATTGCATTGAATTATGAATGAATTGTGGATTTAAAGATGAATTAAGATTATTTCTCCCTTGAACCCATGATTTCCCCCAAATTCCTAAATTGTGATTTGTGATTGAGAACTCATTGATCATAGAAGTATGTTGATTTGTTTATGTTTATATTGGATTAATGATTGAATCATGTCAATTTCCTTATCTGTTGTAGTATCTTAGATTTATGGGTTGATGTTGGTTCATAGCCTTGAAAGGCAAGTTCATGAAGGATCTATGAATTACTATGATGTGAAATATGTATGTGCGATCTCAATGAAAGTTTTATGATCATGTTTAGAATAAAATAATGTTATGATTGAAAGCATATTCTCAATTAACACTCATGAATGATGATGATAGAATGTGAAAGTTTTTCTTCTAGATGATGTATATCTTGAATTGGTACGCTCTTATCATCCTCTTCTTGATTGAATGAAAGTAATGTGAATATTGTATCTTGAATTGGTAGGTTAAGGCATCCTTTTCTTGTATTGATGAATGTGATCTTGAATGAAGTATCTTGAATTGGTAGGCTAAGGCATCCTTTTCTTTTGAAATGAATACGTATTGACTTAATGATCATGGAATCGGTAGACCTAATGTTGGTAGCCCTTTCATAAATGACTAATGAATGTAATGATTACTTAGAATCGGTAGACCTAATGTTGGTATACCTTTCCTAAATGAATGATGAAGTATTCTAGGCTATGACATGATCCGGTAGACCTAATGTTGGTAGCCTATCATAGTGAGTCTAGAAACTAATGTGATGTTAAACCTTGAAGCGGTAGACCAAATGGTGGTGGCCCTTTCTTGTGTGAAGTGATGAACCTTGAAGTGGTAGACCTAATGTTGGTGGTGCTTTCTTGGGAAGTCAATGAGTTATCCTTATAATGTACCTTGAAGTGGTAGACCTAATGGTAGTGGCCCTTTCAAGTGTAATGTACTTTGGGTCGGTAGGCCTAATGTTGGTAGCCCTCTCTAGTAAAATAATGTAATGGAAATGAAACTAATCTATGGGAATGGAAGCTAAGTACCGAGAGGATATGGTAAGATGGAAGTTCTCCCTATGTTAGGCTGGATTTCAATGAACATCTTTCATATCCCATAACTATATGATCGCATAGGTCCTAGCTAGTGTATCCACTTAAGATAAATGTTACCGGTCTTACCTTAGGCAAGTAGACCACCTCTTTACGGTGTGGGGATTCATGACACCGGATTCCATATCTAGCTCACTTGGTCTATGTCGGCTAAACGATTATTCCCATCATGTGAGATGTGCATTATGGTTTATTGATGAGTTCTATGAAGTGTGGGTGGTAGTATGGGATGCCATCCATGCATTGCACGAGTAGGCTTTGAGAGGGCTATAGTTAGTTCTCTAAGGTCTTAATGACTAATGTATGAAAGTGCTCTAAATGAAGTTAATGAAGAATGTTGACTCTTATATGCTTAATGTAATGATGCATGCTATACTTGGATTGTATTAGGAGTTACTTCCTTGTCATACCTTATGTAATGTTTATGTCTCTTATGTATGAGTATTGTATGAAGATGGATAAGATGAATGGTAAGTTCACTTTTGGTGGCCTTAATGTGGTATCTAGTGTGGATGGTGGTATGGGACACTATTCATACATTGCACAAGGCATGGCTTGGGGTTACTTGAGGTGAAAGCTTAATGTAATGAAATGTCATGTATGTTGATTATGTTCAAATGTGAAGAAATGACGTGTATGTTGGTTATGGTTGTATATTATGTCTCTTATTCTTATGTTCATGAAGTTTTCTCAAATTGGCATATATCATGATTTTCAAATAAATGTCCGTTTTAAGCATGTTTTTGCATGGCTATCATACTTAGTACTTAATTGTGCTAACCCATATATCTTCATGTTTTACTACAAGTGTAGGTTCCGGCAAGTGAGTTGCTTTCTCTCAAGTTGAAGCTTGGATTTGAGATTCTCCAAGACTAAGTGGTATGTCCTCATAGATCGAGGACAAGTACTTGAAGTTTCATTTTCTTTCATGTGAAAGACTATTGTTAGACTTTTCGATTGTAAAGGGTCGTGACCCTACTTTTGTTTCGGATATTATTTTTTTATGGCCATGTGAGACAATAGACTTCCGATGTGTT